TTATTCGACTGCTGGCGGTTGCTCGCGGCCCGCCTGCTCTTCGCTCGCGTCCCTACCCCTGGGTCACGCATTTGCACTGTCATGAATTTTGACGTCGCAGAGATGAAAGGGTAAGACGGAGCTGTTCAAGCCGTATTACTATAAATGATACGCATCATGGTATATTCGAAGATAAAAAAATGCTATGTCAAATTAAGTTGTTTTTTTTAATTTACAATTTAACATTCAAGAATAAAAATGAAATAACAATACAAGTGATTACATTTTTAGTTGAAATCGATTTGACTATCGATTTCAACTAAAAATGCAATCACTTGTATTGTTATTTCATTTTTATTCTTGAATATTAAAATGTAAATTAAAAAAAATAATTTGACATTGCATTTTTATCTTTGAATATTTTTTGTTACCGCAATAGCCCTGAATATTTATTTCGTAAGTATACAAGGCATAACTTTGTAGCGACATTTCAATTAATTGACCTTTTATTCAGAACTTATTGTTAGAATAGATAGTTTACTAAACATTTATATTTATAATATCACTACAAAATTTGAGCCTAAACGACTTCAATATTTGGATTAATGAGCTATAATATATGAGACGACCAGTTGAATATCAACTATTATGCCATAATGGCAAAGTAATTTATACCCACAAGAGCTGCAGTTTTCACATTTTCATTGTTTATGCTTATGCTTTCATTGTGGCCGAGAGATGGGAATTGTCTATGCACGAAAACGAGAGGGCGCGATAACACCTTTTCATATTGTAAGCAATTAGAATGGAGTGAATGATAACATCAAATGCATCTGCTGGAAAGCGAAGTAGCTTGGAACAGAGTTTTACTTTTCATGCGAAGATATGTTTTGTGGAAGTTCAACTTAATACCGAGTAAATCATATAATATTCGGCATCTGCCAGTAGATGAAAAGTACCGGCATGCGATGTCATGATTTCTGAGTGAGAGAAGATTTAAGAGAGCAAATGAATTGAAATTTACTCTCAGTGTAACAGTGAAGATCCGACATATTTTAAATAAGGGTTACTATGAAAATTCGTTGTTTCTAATATGAATAATAATGTTCCGTCTTTCAGCTGTTTCGCGATTTATACTGATCTTCGCAGATACCATTTCCCACGTATCAATATGTAATTCGATAATCTGTCCCCGAGCGCCGTTATTACAGATGATCGGCTTTCGGGTGGTGCCCTATCGTTTCAAAATAACGTTTAATCTTTTACTCGCGCTTAGGGAAATACAATTTTCATCGCACGTGTGGGCACGTGGGCCGTTTTCCACTGGATTCTGGGAATGAATAGTATACCTTCAGTCAAAACTCTCTATGACACCAACGATTCCTCGTTTGTTTATCAAGAGAGTGGGTAACCTCAGAACTTTTAAAAACTGC